GATGTGCTCATGTCTATCACAGCGCACTGCAAAATAAAATTCACGTCATGGGTCGACCGTGTATTGACGATGATGTTCGCACTGGGATTGCCTTTGGTGCAGGTATACCAACACGTCGACATATCGGATAGTTTCCCTCGATACGCTGAACACATCATCTGATCCGCGGATCGACACAAACTCGACGATATTAATAAAGTGTCCTCTTAACTGCAGACACCCTGTCCTGAAACTGAAATCGTCGGTTCTTTTTGCCGAATTATGAATTGAGTCTATTTTCGAATGCGTTCTGTCGTTTCTTGAATGTGTTTTCCGGACTAATTCCCAGAAAGCGAGTACTGTCCGTCACCTACGGTAGCTGCAGCTATCTTCATCTCTGTGCGATATATTTCAAACGGCGAGCGCTTTGTTCCTTTGGCTTCCCCCGTGTCAGCAACTGTCATTCGTGACTCTTCTGAAGCCTGCGTCGACGTAGCTTCGTCTCGATCTCTTCCGGCAATTACTTACTTGGTCTCCTCGCCGGTGATGCTCGTCTGAAGCTTTGTCTCCACATGCCTCTACTGTACTCGTCTTCAAGTCCTGAAGTCTCCTTTTCTATTTTATTAAATTGATTATTAATTACTTTGATTTTACATCATGCAAGCTTGCTCACATGTCAATATCCCTTCGACGCGGAAAAGATACTATAACTGAGAAACACCAGGGACCTGATACCGTGCTCCACTTCAACATCTGAGTGCTTATAACCGCTCTCATTTGATGCAAGCTAAGCGAGATCGCCGATACTATGGTGGGCTCAGAGCACCAAGTAAGCATATCTTCAGTTTTCTTTGTCGGTACCATCCCCAGTGTAACTTGCTAAGGCTCTAGCACGTCGTCCAAACAAATACGCAACACTTCAATGTCACCCGTTTGGGGGGCAGATTGATCAGCAAGACGCACAAAAACGGTCATCAGGAATAGCACAACAGGCACCGGACCGTCATGACGTTTTCCAGCGAAAAATAGCCAACGTTATTCAGTCACCATGTACTGAAACTTCTTCCACACGCGGGTCCAAGGCTGCAGTACAACTAACAGCCACGAGCGTAGAATTATGAGTCTTCCAATCCAGACAACTTCCAACCATGACACGTCCCTGTCTTCACCTCCTCTTCCACAAAAACCACACGATCAACTAATGCGCCTCCTGAGCCGCCAGATCTCGTACAGAGCTTGCGTCGTCATCTTTCTCTTTCTCGGGTCCGTCGCCTTCATCACCCCATTTAAGGAATATTACCTAGGCAACTACGTGACAGACCCGTTCGACGAAATCCGCGATGAGGTTGTAGCTCGAAAACTCAACCAAATGGGCGTCGTCATCAGCGGCGCGCACTATTACGACACGTTTGATCGCAAATCGACCCCACTCATCGACTTGCACAGCAGAAAAGAGCCCAATCGCTCCACCACTGAGACACTGGGACTGACAGACTTTCTCGATCGAGCCAACGTACGTCGCGTCGACCTCCTCTCTGGGTTACCAGTAGAGACGCTATCGCAACCCGTTAACCTCATGGTTGACGTTATGGCACCGCTTTGTACAGACTCGTGGGAGACCAAGGCTCAGCTGTTGTTTGGCAACTATTTCCCTGCTATTCGTCATGAATTTTGTCGCGATTTTCACGAATTGTTTCCAAGGGATCGATTTTTTAACCATCAGTGGATAAAAACGTGGCGGAAGTGGGAAACGCAAGTCTCGGTCTTATAGCTGTCATAAACATGTCGAAGTCTACTTAGACCACTTTAATGACGAGCTGGTGGTGCGTAAGATCATGAAAAACGTGCAGGAAGGTTACATGCAGTTGGAGCTTGATGGGTACACTGATGAAGTGGCTGACGCGATCGTGGGTCGATACAGTAAAGGGATTGCGGTCGATGACGCTATCGCTTTGCTACCATCTTCTTTCGATGCTGACCACGTGGCTTTAGTTGATGTTCTTGGCGTTAGCGCTTTGCCTAACTATTATTTGCAGTCTCAAGAGCTGACGATGGGGACAAATGTGAACGGAGAAGCTGCCATTTCAGCTGAAGTGACTCACGCCACTGCCGCGTATTTTACGCCGGATTTTCTGTCGACTACCGTTGGATGAACTTCCTGTCGACTACACACTTGGCGTTCTTCTGGGAGTGCTCAATCTTACACACGTCGATGGACAAGACGATGAGAGTAGACGACGTAAACGCGTCTGCACTGAAACAATGTGGTAGGGAAGTGGCCCGACATCTGCCGATTGTTATTGCAAATCTCATGTTTCTCTTTCAATCTAAGGAGAGAGATTACACTACGCTGGACAATACTACGACGTACACATTGGGTCGAAGACGTGAGTCGGATTCCGACTATAAAGTTCTACAAGTCCCAGAAACGCTTGATGACTCGCCGCTCTACTCTATCGATGGATCCAGCTGGTCCAAGACCAAAGCAGACACGTCGTCAGTAATGACGCTATCAACCACTCCATACAAATATCTGTATACACCGGACTGTAAACGACTGGTAACTCAAGCACTAAGTCAGAGTGGGCGCAATACACAGAAGTATCAAGCGTATCTGGGAGACGGCCTTGGTAACTGTGCGTTCCGAGATTCCCAGAAAACAGATCAGCAAACACTCTGCCGGTTGTTCATGACTTCGGATGAGGTTTCATTCCGCGATCTGGATGGAAATCCGGTAGATATTCCGTCGTGTGCGTCGCTGATGGACAACTCTACTAGTGAAGAGAACCAGAATTTACAGCAAGAAAATCTGCGGCAGATCGAGTGGTTCATGATCGATACGAAGACGTTAGCTAGAAGAATCCGCATCATCGACAACACCAGTCGACAAATCCGCACGTTCCTGCTGATGCTCAACTTCATTGGGGCGTCTCACTACGCTCTCCAGTACATCTACAACCTCAAAAGTATCTGGATCTTCATCAGCAATAGCGTGTTACAGCCAGCCGCAGAGGAGCGAACGCGTCAAGCAACTATCGACAATATCAACCACCAGCCATCCCCAGTCGTTCGCCTTGGAATTCTGGAGCTACTGATGTGTGATCCCGCGGATGGAGCACTGGAACACCCACTCACCATGGTACTAATGTATCTTGGCGCTATTGGATCGTTAAGTAACATTTTCAGACCAGAGTGCACCGCCCAGCTGTCTACGATCGGAGTTGGTATAGTGATTCACTGTGTTCCTGCCATTCCCGTTAGCAACATGAACCTCGTGTTAACGACACTTAGTAGCAGCTACTGGGTTATCCGTGTGACGTTGCAGTCCCAGTCTCTGGCCATGCGTCTGGACCACGTCGTTCGCGACAACTTCATCCGCTTCTGGCTCACCAACGCATGCGCAGTGCTCGTCATCCACTTTACGTGCAAGGGGATCGCTGATGTCGTGTTCAAGAATATCAAGCTGAGCTCCGATCCCCATATCTACGCCATTCTCGGAGGACTGGCCTTGTCCTTAGCGATCTCATCTGGGTTTATCCTCGTTCATATTGCTGGAACGGACAGAGAAAGGTTTACTACGTTTATCAAGAAAAAGTCTACCAGATCGTTATGGAAAGCGGCACACGACCGAGCTATGAGCTATCGCGCGTTCGTCGCTAGATGGAGCACGAAAGACCTCGACTCGGTGTTATATCACTGCGCGTCGCCACAGATTGCGCGTCAGTTGCAGATTTCCAGCCTACCAGAGCAACCAGAACATCGCGCATGGAAGCAAGGAAGTCGATCGGAGGACCTCGTGGACAGCCGACCACCGTCCATTCGCATCAATGACTTTGTCGCTGTGCACTGCGCTGGGAAGCACATTTGCACTTGCAAAGTGTCAAGTGGTATCTGAAATCTGACGGGTGTGGTGGGGTCACAACAGCTGAATTGATAGTAAGGCACCCTCGGGTTTACACAGTAGATGCCGATTCCCCGGACGTCAGCAAGGACGCGCCGAGATAAGGTAATTAGCTAGCAAGTTTTGTGGACGGGGGGGGGGGGGGGAGTTTTTTATCGTTGAATACTCATGTACACTATAGTAACTAAACGAAAAATTATTTCCAATCTAGTAAGAAGATTTGCTTTTTCAAAATACTTTTAGGTGGCCCAATTATTGGCAATAAATATTAAGAAAACAGTGTTCCTGAACAGAATTTAGCTAATGATAATATTGCCTCACAGACACTACTAATGATGAAAAACGCTACATTAACACCTTAAAAATATGAATCTGATATTGCTCCAATATTTCCAGTATAATTTACAAAAGTAGGCTCATAGGAACTTTAGATGCCTTACGAAACAATTGGACGTCTCAGCACCGTTTCTTGATGTCTGTATTTCCCATACTAGCTCTTAGTTAAGAATCTGATAGCCAATCATTATCTCAGAGTCCACAAACACGCAGCTTGCTATGATCAACGGAGGTGTTCTTTCAGCTACAGAAGCTGTAGCGGTCAAGCGATTCGAGATCTTATGCAGTGGTAGCAAGAGGAAGGCATGCAAGGAAGATTACGCGACGCATATTCTTCGTGCTGGTCCAAGCAAGCGCGCTAAGCATGGGGGAGACAGTGGTGATATTATCTACAGCGAGTTGTTGAAGCAGCTACCCCCAACATCAAATGCATGCGAGCGATTATTTTCGCAGTGCAAGCTGGTGCTTACACCTTAGCGGACATGCATGTTGCCTGCCAATTTTGAGCTGATTATGTTTTTGCATGCAAACAGGAATTTATTGGATGTGACGAGGCTAGCTTCAGCTGGAAGTGACGCAGAGCTGTAGGCAATATTGCAATACTTACTGCAGTTTTTTTATTGGTAATTGTGGAATTTTCCTTTTTATTATTGCGCTTACCCACCGTCAATTCCGTATAATACTGTATTGGAGAACCCCTGTACAGGACACAATCGCATAGAAGACTGTGTCCAAGTATCTTTCTTTGCCTATTTTAAAAATTGGTGAAGTTTCTAATCAGGACACTTACAGTTGGATACTGGACACATACTTCATCTCATTACTTTTATTGCGAGTAAAATCCCTCGTTCATAAAATGCTGCAATTTTTGCTGTCAGATGTGCGTACTTAAACAGTGTACTGGATTTTTACGAGGCGCGAACTTACCGGGGCTGTACTGTTTTACTAATCCAAATTCTGACTTAACTCGCCGATTTTCATAATCCAGTTCACTAGTACTGGATTTTGGACATTCTTCCACAAACATACAAAACATACACACACATGCATAATGTAAACGCTACCCATAGACATTTTTTATATTGTGTAAATAAAAACGTCGAAGAAGGATGTCCACGAGATGCGAGGAGATCTGCAAGCTGCCTGTGTGTTTTCGCTCTGGTTTATATGGAGCATTTTTGATTTTGATTCGAACGCAAGCGATACGATACACTCCTATGCCGATGAAGCTAGCTGCATTCCTCTCCATCGCCGCGATTGCTACAATGTCGACGACGACTGCCACGCCTACTCAAAGGAACATGATTTTTGTATCCGGATACACGGAGGCTCCATGCGCCGACACTCCGTGCCTTCCGGAGCATGCTCCAGTGTGTGGATCGAATGGCGTCACGTACGAGAATGAGTGCGAGTTGGACCAGGCCAATTGCAACAACGCTGGCCTGAACGTGACTCAAGTGAGCTATGGCGCGTGCCCCTGCGGTATCCAGAATGAATGAGGTCGCGATCGCGTAATTGACATGGAAAGGGGTTAGCTCCGAACCAATACACGAACCACTCCCCAAAAAAAAAAAAATTCAATCAGCTACTTAAAATAATGTAAACTTCAGCACTCGATTAAAAAGAGCGATGAAGACAACGTTCTATTGCTTGCTCTCGTCCTCAAAGTTAGCTGTCCAAAAGTCTTTGAGCTACCAACGCAATATGCGCATTGTCAGTAAAGATCACAGACCACGTACTTTTAATCTCCCTACAACCACTGCCTTCTTTTCTTCAAGTCGTCGGAAGCAACCTGCGGGGCTATTACGCTGTCTTGTGGGCGACGGTAGTATCTCAAGTCTCCAGTACGTCGTGAATGGATGCTAGACCTGCGCAGAATACACAATCCCAGACGAAGGAAGCTCTGCTGGTCAAATCGAACAGTGTGCCGTGTACATTGCACCGTTGTGTAATCCTGAAATCTGTGAAACACCCGATGGTGTCAACTCGAAAGTCGTCGTCTTTTCAAGCGTTTTCCTGCCACGATAGCAGACCCTACACTACTTCAGGGAGGCCCTGGCGTATCGCCCACTGACTGTGAGTTTTTTTACGGGAGTTTTGGGACTTCTGAAATCAATACGGATGTCTTTCTATTTCATCGCAGTGGAGGAATCAATGGACCATGGACGATGGTGACACTGCACGAGTTGAAAGAAGCCGTGAGCGTATACACGACGGCCCATCAAGGTACAGGACGCAGCACAAAATTGAAGTGAGTCGCATCGCAGAGTACTACTACAGGATCTCCTTGGAGCCATTCGTTTGACACGTCGGAGGCGCCTGGATGTGCCAATGACTTACATGGAGTCGGTACAATTGTGTATGGTGCCAGCTATTAATACGATACAATTTTGGTGTAAAGGCGCATGCAGCTAGATCCTCCAAACGGGATTGGATATGTACTCGATACTATCGAGTCGATAGTGTCGGTGCAACCGCTGGGACATCTGATAAGGAGTTCGCCTACGTGTCGAGATCTGGCATTACCTATGGCGAAGTCCGCGATGCTTTCTTAGCGCTTTGTGAGAGTGACAGCAGCTGCAAATCTTACTTTCAAGTCAACAATACGCTTCAAGGTTTAATCGAGAAGTTTGACATCGACCCAAACTCCACCAGTCCAATGTTAATGGGAAAAATCGGCAGAATCGCGGTGTCATTCAGTCTGCGATCTGTACTGGCAAGTGATCCGTACATCCGAACCTTAATTCCGCCTCTTGTTTACCGCCTCTATCGATGTAGACGTAGACGTTCTGTCCCAATACTTTACAATCCTCACTGCGAATACTAATCCGCTAAACCGCAAGACGCTGTATTTGAATCGACGCTACCCCAGAGTATCATTGTCTTCTCTGAGATGATGCACTACCATCTTTGTCTGAGATGAAGGCTCGATTTACAAATGCTAAAATAGCTACTGGAGGGATTCCTACTTGGTTCAGTCAACATACTCTGCCTTCACGAAAGAGAAGTCTCCATCGTGTGACGAGACTAATGTTGGTAGTTTTGACTCGAGCGGCATCATAGATCAGTACTGGGACAAAACAGCAAACCAAGCAAGCATTTTGCTGCTAAGTGGAAAGCTGGACCTTCAGACACCCAACAAATACGCCGACGCCTTTTGGAAAAATCTTGACCGCGATAGGAAAGAACTAATAGCCTTCGAATACGCAACACACGGTGCTCTCAAGACGACTAAAATGGCTGCTGATGATCTGGAGAGTGAAACTTGTGAAATGAAAGTACTAGCATCGTATGTACGCGCTGGTGGAGATCTCGAGGGTTTGGATAAATCCTGTGTGGCTTAGATGCCAGCATTTGATCTGTCCCCGCCAGATGCCTATTTGTACAGCTACTTTGGTACAGACGATGCCTTCGATGGCGTGTACAACTCGAGCTTAGCTCAATACTAGCATGATATTCTAGATTTGTCGATGATCACCGAAGCATCTTCAAATTCCGATACCTAAAGGTAAGTTTTACATAATATGGCATAAGCGTAAACTGTTCCATAACAAAGTGTAGGTTTTCCAGAATCTATCGAGTATTACAACGAAACATCGTGTTTTTATTTATGAAGAATTCACCAATCCTCCAGCTGTAAACTTTCTGTTTCTTGACTTCAAAATTCTGAACACACATGGAAGCCCATACCCAAGAAGCTCACGGATAGTACACAATTTTACCTTGAGCTGGCGTTATATACTCTCCTTTGGCGGATATCATGCAGAATAATACGCAGCTCACCAAGTCCAAAAATAATCGTTTCTGCTCTTCAAGGGCAATGACGGGTCCTCCAGGCCGAATCATTCGGACTCAGATGAGCTAGTGCTTCCCTGTGAGGCCAGTACCTCATTTAAAAGTATTGACCTGAGCGCGATCGCGAATTCGCGCGAATCCTCGTCGGCCTTGTTCTGCAATAATCGATGAAATTTATCGGCGACTAAACCTTATCCGGACTGTGGAGTGTCCAGCAACATGGGTTCTGCCGCATGCACACTTCCATGCACGATGATTGTCCATCCGCTGACGAGCGTAGAATGCAAACGCCTGCTTCGATAGAGCGCATCCCGCTAAATCCACCTTCACCTTCAGAGTTAATCTTCCAGGTGTACACTCTTGGAAGATGCACTTGATCCGTATGCCCTAGGAACACTTTCACCAGTCCACTGAAAGGTAAAAGAAAGTATGATTAGATCGTTAGCTTCACTACTCCTCAGCTCAACGTTCTTCTGCGACCATGCAGTCGCTTCTCATGCATTGGCCTGGCATCATTTGTCTTCACTATACTGCACAGCACCTTTGTGCTCAACTCAGTTGTGCCAGGTCCCGTAGTTCGACCATCCGTCTTGTACTTCACGTTGACTCTGGTCCTAGATATGAATCTGGATTCCAACACGCCTCCTTCGAAGCTCCAGCTTTGACTACTTTGCATCTCCGATGCCAACACTAGCAATCAGATTCTTGAGACGCAATTTGTCCAGTGCTTTTGTAAAAGCATCAGCAGGATTCTCATCCCCTTTGATCTTATGTAGATTGAGCACTCCACGTTCCACTTGTTCACGCACGTAATGCCAACGCAACTCGATGTGTCGAGTGCGGCGACTGTAGGTAGGATTTGT